AGGGAATCATTCAATCATTAATCAAATCTGACTTCACACATTGACCTTACTAGTCAGAAGTTGGCTTGGAAGGTCACACGTGGTGATCACATGACTCCAGGACAGTGCAACTGCCATAAATGCTAGTTGCCACATGTCTCAATTTTGATCACATGACCATGGGGATGCTGCAACGGTGATAAGTGTGAAAACTTTTATAAGTCCCTTTTTTCAGTATCGTTCTAACTGCTAAGTTACTAAACAGTTGGTTATAAATAAGGACTTCCTGTATTTGTAAGAGTCTTTCAGCGAAAATTGTTTGGCATAGATGTATAGTTGGAGGATCTATACCCATGATGGTGAACCTATGGCACATGTGCCACAAGTAGCACACAGAGCCCTCTCTGCAGGCACATGAGCCATTGCCCCAGCTCAGCTCTACCGCGCATGCATGAGCACCTCCCACCGGCCAGCTGATTTTCAGGTCTCTGTTGTGCATGTATGGGGGGGCGTATATGGGAGATGTGTGCGCATGCACAGGGAGGGGGTCGCAAGCACGGGGGGCCATACACATGCATGGGGTGGGGGAAGCAGAGCGCCCCGCCCATGGCCCATTTTTAATTCCAGGAGGCTGCAGGGAGGTCTACTAAGCCCAATGGGGGGGGGTTGCACGCACATCGCAGAAGATAAGGGGGGGTATCGCACATTCATTGCATTATGGGTGCAGGCACGAACACTATCACGCACACATGAGCCCTTTCAGCACGCGACGACAAAAAGGTTAGCCATCACTGATTTTTAAAATGGGGTGCCATTTTATAGATAATTACTTCGTCTTCAATTTTGAGCACTATCCTTTTTTATCCTGAATGTAATAGTTTACATAAATTGACCTCTTCAGACTGTGGAAAGTCATAACTAAAGTGCCTTTGTTTGGTAAACAACTAAGTCTTATATTTTATTTGACATTCTTGGTTAAAATGATACCTTAAAAAACATAATATGGGATGGTTTTTTATAGGTCTCCTTTTATATCCTTGTATATACATCATATATGAAAAGAAAGATGAGCAATACTGTGAATGAGTAACTAAATCAGTAAACAGATTCAGTTCCCAGATTTTATTTATTATCTAGGAAACATAAAGAGATCCTGATCTGCTTTTATTATAGTAATGTTAAAAACGTTTGAACATACCCATTCTGTTGAAAGATAGCATGACATCTCAGGTAAAATTTAGGCATATTTTACATGTGGAAGGCATACTAATTGCCTTTCAAAGGTGCTTCAAGACAGCAGGAAAATTCAAAAAGCCAAGACGTTATTATTATATAAAACTGCATGTCAGCCTGCATTTTTTGCAGAAATGTTATCTGATTAGATAATTTATCAGAAAGATGAAATACTTTCAGGCACAGCCCTTCTCTTACTCTTGTAAATTGGAGGTGACCAGCAGTTTATCAAAGTATCTGTCTACAAAAAAAATTGTAGGGGTAATGCAAGCTATTTTCAGAAAATTATTAATTAAGAAAAAGTAATTTCCCAAGAATAAGAAGAGTGATTATTTCTGTAAGTCAAAGTCCAATTAGTTTAACTATTCATTAAGAGTGTTTCAATCCTTTGTGAAAAATCACAATATCTACAATATCCTCTTGAGACTATTTATTATAATCACATTAGTTCTAAACAGGTGATGAGTTTTCCTGCCATTGTTCTGGAAACAATCATCTTAGTGCCAGCTGAATTTACTCCCAAGTTTTATAATCTGTCACTTGTTGATACTATCTCTGTATATCTATAAAGCAATAAATAGTTCACTCCAAAGCAGAGAATTATTATTAGATTTTTATTCTGTCCCTCCCCCCCCC